TTTCGCTCCAATGAGCTTTGCTATCTATGCAGATGTGACTTCTTTCTGAACTTCAGAACTGAAACCTACAGTGAACATGACCACTGTCTTGATACTGACTTGGGTAGGAAATGTCTAAACTTAAATTTGGATTTCAAAGAGAGGAATCCAGATCTTGAGAGGGGCATTTAATTTAAATTTAATAAATGTGTTATGTATAATGTGGGAGATGAACATGCTAGCAAAGTGTGCATGCATTTTATAGGCTAGAGATGTGTAGGTGTGAAAAGGAAATTATATTTGCACATGTGAAATGGAAGGCGTGGAAGTGCACAGGCTGGCAGTTTGTATAAAGTTCCTTGCGGCTTTGGTATGCAATAGATTTCTTAACTCTGCTTCCTGTTTTGCTGACTTCAGGAACTGCTGCCATTTCATTTTGAAATGATCACTGAACCTTCTTGATATAATGAATAGCTCAAGCTCATTTTCTCCCTTCTAAAACAGTTATTTTGGTATTACACTTAACACTTAAGTAAGTACTATTCCTCTTACGATAACTTGTAATTTCAAAAGTACATAGGCAGCTTAGCTGCATTTGTTGTCTCTTGTGTGGCATTGTTATTGCTCTCTTGTTCAGTAGGTTTAGAAACAATTCCATTCCAAATACAGGTTTGATATGGATGTAATGTTCATTAAAATTCTACAATGAAATATTCCTGGTTTCCCATTCTCAAAAATGAAAAGAAAATCATTACCTTTAACTTGTAACCCACAAGAATACCCAGTTGAGCCAGTGGCCCGGTAAAACACCTTCTACCAGTAATGGTACACACGATGATATATATTAGCTCTATTGAACTCGCAGCTTGATGCCTTGCTTGGGATAGCACTCTGAGAAGTCAACTTTCTCTTCTTTCTGTAGCGCGAGTGTATCTCTGTCCATGTCGGCCAAGCTGGCGTGCAGATGGGCAATACTTGCTGGGAACTGTATTGCCTAGAACATGGAATTCAGCCAGATGGACAGATGCCAAGTGATAAGACCATTGGTGGTGGAGACGACTCCTTTACTACCTTCTTCTGTGAAACCGGTGCTGGGAAGCATGTCCCCCGGGCTGTCTTTGTGGACCTGGAGCCCACTGTGATTGGTGAGTACGTCTATGGAAATGTTGACTCCTAGAAGAGAAGAGCAGCAACTTTTCTCAAATAGGCTCAAATTCATTCAGTTCTTCTTTAGGCAGAGCAAAACATGCAGTTTTAGTCTGAATTTCTTAGGTACGTTCTTATCCAATTCGCTCTTAGATGTATGGGGGGTCTACTGAACCCAGAATTACCACTCAGTATGGCTCCTAGAGAAGAGACTTGACTTGCCAACTCCTTGTTCAGTTCCCACAGAGACATTCAGTTGGAATAACTCCGTAAAGTAGCCTCCTGATAAAGTGATTCTGTCCTAGAATGAGAAGCATGTAACTCCTCCGGATCTTCTGCAAGATTTTGGCTGCACTCAATATCCTTCCTTAGATGTCTTGTTGAATTATTCCGCTTGCTGGGTGTCTGCTTGAAAGTACACAGTACACTGTAATAAACTTTACATCCTCTTAATCTTTTCCAGATGAGATTCGTGGTGGCACTTATCGTCAGCTCTTCCATCCAGAGCAACTAATCACTGGAAAGGAAGATGCTGCCAACAACTATGCCCGTGGACATTACACCATTGGCAAGGAGATCATTGACTTGGTGTTGGATAGGATTCGTAAACTGGTAATAATTGCAATGAAGGATGGGGGTATGGACTTTTTGGAGGAATGGAAGGAACTCTGCCTGAGACTGGTGGAGATGTTGGGATAGCAGGGACTTGAGGTCCAGGATGGCTATTGGTTATTTATGCACTTTCTGGATAATTCTAGGCATTTATTTTGCCATGTTACACCTCTTTAGAGGGTGGGTTAGTGGTATTTCATTCCATTATTCCATTCATTCAAGTTTTGTTTTAGAAGCTGAGGATGCTGAGTGCAGTGCAAATGAATGCAAAATTCAGAATGTTTCTTTATGCTTCACCCTTGTCTTTTTGTGTCCTTCTGATCAGAGTGAATAATATGTCTTCCTGATTCTAATCACTGTCACTGTATGTGATGTTTCCCAATTCTAATTTTGTCTCAGCCACTCATTATTCCTTTAGGCCAGTGTTTCTCA